CCACATTCCCCAATTCCCACATTCCCCAATTCCACAATTCCCCAATTCCACAATTCCCCCATACCTAAATCCCCAAATTCCAAAATTCCCGAATACCCAAATCCCTAAACCCCAAATTCTCCAACATCCCCCAAATCCCCCAACCTCCAACCCCCAAATCCCCAATAACCCAAACATCCACAATTCATCCCCGATACCCCGAAACATATCCCACCAAAATCGCGAACGGTAAATCATGCACATTGTAGGAAAGCAGAAACGATTCGTATAATAAAGCTCGCCCTTAGAAACAGGGTGATGCAGCGACACGAGAGCTTTAGCGTTGAATATAACATAAATCGTGGAACGACAAGCGCGCGGAAACTCGGCCAGAAGCTCGACAAGGAAGGCTGAAAACGAGGAGCGAGGAGAGTACGTAGTAAGTCGGCCGGGGTCTCCGTTAACTGGATGCTAGATACGAGCTAGAGAGTACGCTAGACATAATCGCTAGAGCAGACAGAAGAGTAGGACAGACTGGAGCCAGGAATTTCGGGGCGGCGAAAGTCGAAATAGCCGGGGTTCCTTGGCTCTGTGCCAGTCCCTCTGGCTGACACCAAAGAAACATCTTCCTAATTTTCCATGTTTGCCTCGCAATTTGACCTTCCATGATATTATCTCGAAACGCTACAAACACGAATGCTACTCGTTACGCAAATACTTTGATTGACTTACGGATTTACGTAAATAGATTCGTCAGGGGACTTCAAGTTGTTTTATGTTCGTTATGTTATGTACCTTGCATTGTCTTGGAGGTAGGTGAATTAGGATACTTGTCTAAGTAGTTTGATTGACTTCGTTAGATTAATACAAGTAGATCACTTAAATGGTGCTCTAAGTTCTGCAGATATTTTGTTAGGTTCAAATGTTGCAATTTAACCTTGCATCATTTTAGAATGCTACAAACAAGGATACTCTTCGTTCAGGTACATTGATTGACTTCATCAAATTAACACAAATGAATCATTCAAAAGGTTGCTCTAAGATCTGTAGACATCTTGTTGGGTTCAAATGTTGCAGTTTAACCTTGCATCATTTTAGAATGCTACAAACAAGGATACTCTTCGTCCAGATACATTGATTGACTTCATCAAATTAACACAAATGAATCACTCAAAAGGTTGCTCCAACATCTGCAGACATCTTGTTATGTTCAAATGTTGCAGTTTAACCTTGCATCATCTGAGTATTCTTCAAACACGGATACTCTTCGTCCAGATACA